GCAGAACGCACATCACCTTGAATGACGTGTTGATTGTGCAGAACCTGCGTTTCAACCTGCTCTCGGCGGCGCAACTCCTGGATTGCGGAGTCATACTCAGCACCGACCCCGAGACGCGCGACATTCTGCTCCACTTCACGATGCCGAACAAGATGCGCAAGCAGATCGGACGAGCGCACGCCGAGAACGGAGTATACGTTCTCGACTTCGACATTCCCGACTGCAGCGGCGATTCGCAGGAGCTGATTGACCTCGTTCCCCTGCGCTTTGAACATATCCATCGCCGCGACTGGAAGCACCCTGATGGCCGCCCTTGGGTGCCGCATCACCCACATCCGCGCGAGCTAGCGTTACACGACCCTGATCCTGATGGCATCTGCAGAGACTGCCACACACCCACATCCTCAACAAGCGCGATCGCCGGCCGCGGCCTTGCCGCCATCATCGAAGCAGAACGCAACGCACCGCCTGAAGAGGGCCTGTCGCAACTGGAGCTGGAAACAGCCACACGGGTCGTCTTCGGCACACCGGAAAATCCTCTCCCTGGACCCGCATCCCAGCACCTACAAGGGATGCTTCGCGGCGTCGGTGTCGGCACCTTCGACGCACATGGCAATCCACGGCCTTACACCGCGGAAAAGGCGGCAGAGATCTACGCTCTTCGGCGCGATTCGAAGGAGAAACTCTCGCCGGCGGAAGAAGAGGCACTGGCGCAACGCGAAGCCGAAGAGCTTCGACAGAAGAGTCTCACTGAGGCGCGCGGAACGCTCGCTTGGGAGGATGACAAGGAAAGCGCCTCCAATGAAGGGGGGTGGGGGAGCGCCGGCGGGTGGGGAACAAGTGACACTGGCGGATGGGGAACCGCAACTGGCGGCTGGGGAGCAGACAACGGCGGCAACACTGACGGATGGGGCGCCGCAACTGGCGGCTGGGGAACAAGTGACACAGGCGGATGGGGCGTAGCATCTGGCGGAGAAACGAGCGGCTGGGGAGCCTTCCGCGAGGATCAAAGGGGGGAAGCGGAAGAAGAAACAGCACAAGTTGAGGTTGAACCTCCTGTTGTTCCTCTTGGACGCCCTCCACGCCGCCCTGCCCTAGCACCACCGCCACCTGACATCCCTTCAGGAAATGACCCCTGGGACACCATTGACTGGGGTAGTGAGCCACTCACCCCGCGACGCACTGTCTACGGACCTGCCCCTGAACCGCGCGAACCGACATTTGTCCTTGGCACGATCCCTGGAACCAACATCCCCTACTCCATCATTCGCGACAGGGAATTTCTCGCCCTAATGTTAACAACGGCGAACGAAGAAGATGAAGCAGAAGAAGCAGCGCCGACTCTGCAGCCGGCACCTGATGAGGACCCCGCGGAAGCACTCGCGCGCTACATGCGCACCTCCGGATTCCGCGCTGACGACGCCATCTGGCACCAGCGCCTAGGTCACCCCTCACGCGTGACCCTGAAGAACTGCATCGACGCCGGCGTCTTCGCCCCTGGCGCACTGCTGCGCCCTGACGGCTCCGAAGTAAGAGGCGGAACTCATCCACGCACCTGCACCATTTGCCCCGAGGCTGCGCTAAGTCATCAGCCCTTCCCCCTGCTTGAGCCAGGAACCAACCGCTACGCCAAGTTAGAGAAAGTTTACAGTGACTTTCTCAACGTAGGACATTGCGGCATCAAAGACGAGCTCTACACGCTCACCTTCGTCGATGCCGGAACACGCCACGTGTGGGTCGTAAACGTGGAAGCACGCAGCAGGGCATACGAGGCATTCCGCTTGTGGCTGGCGCACGCGCAGCGGCAATCTGGGGAGAAATTGAAAATCTGGCAGTCCGACGGCGCAGCGGAGTTCAGGAGCAAGGAGCTGCAGGATTACCTCGCGCAGAAAGGAATCGAACACCACATCTCTCTCCCCTACGCGCACCAACAGCAGGGCGTAGCAGAGCGCACGAATCGCACTCTCATGACGAAGGTGCGGGCGCTAATGAGGCAGTCGAAGCTCCCGCCGATCTACTGGACCTACGCAATGCATCACGCCGTACGAGTGCACAACCTGCTGTCAACCACCACGATCACCGGCAACTCCTCACCGCACGTGAAGTGGACGGGGAGGAAGGGTGACACATCCATGCTCCGCGTGTGGGGGTGCATGGTCCAATATCGCCCGCCGACATCAACCATCGGGAAATTCAAGAGCCGCGCGCTGGGGGATCCACCTCGGCATCAGCCATGAACACAAGGCGTGGATCATTCTGGACCTCCTGAGCCAGAAAGTTAAGAACGCACGCGACGTCATCTTCTACGAGCGCCTCTTCCTCCAGCAGTTCCGCGAAGACGAGCAGACGAACGCGAACCGCGTCTACGCCAATGACGGCCACAGCTACGCCTCACCTGAGGATGAAGCCGCAGCAGCAATTATGGAGCAGGACCCCAGAGGCGAGTTCACGAGAGGCGATCAACGCGACGACAACGACGACGATGATGATTCAGGAGAAGGAGGAGCGGGCGCAGCAGGAGGCGCAACAGGAGGAAGCGGGAGCGGAAACGGCGGAGGAGCAGCACCATCAGCCCCACCAGAACCAGAAAGTGACGACGACGATGTGCAGGAGGTCATCCCGCAGCATCGCCACGACAGCACCGTCACCGGAATGCAACTCCTCGGGCTCCATGCCGCTACCTCAACGATGCCGCGCGTCATCGAGCCTAAGAACCCACGACAAGCACTCACGTGACCTCACAGCAAGGAGTGGCGCGAGGCAATGGATGCGGAGATCAGGGCACTCGAGTCACGCGACACCTGGGTACTCGTCGACCGTGCAGCAGTGAAGGGGAGAAGGATCCTTTCCGGCAAGTGGGTCTTCCGCGTGAAGACCGGAGCTGACGGGACGATCGAGCGCTTCAAGGCGCGCTGGGTAGTGCGCGGCTACGACCAGAGGCACGGGATTGACTTCGATCAAACGTTTGCGCTGGTGAGCCGTCACACATCCGTTAGGATACTCCTCGCCATCGCAGCCGCACGACATCTGCCGCTCCGACAGATCGATGTTAAGAACGCATTCCTGTACGCACTCGTAGATGCAGTGATCTACGTGGAGCAGCCGCACACATACGGCGAAGGAGACTCGCGGGTCTGCCAGCTGCGGAAGTCCCTTTACGGGATCAAACAGGCGCTGAGACTCTGGCAGCAGTACCTGCACAACATACTGCTTGAAATCGGGTTCAAGCAGCTGCCTCACGATCATGGGATGTATCGCCGCGATTTCCGCGGCGAATACATCCTACTCACGGTCTACGTCGACGACCTCCTCTACACAGGGACAAGCAACGAGCTGCTTGAGCAATTCGAGAAAAACCTTGCAGGGCGCGTCGACATCACCTGCAACCATGACGTGAAGCAGTTTCTCGGGCTCAACATCACCTACTCGCCGGAAGCCATTCATCTCTCAGCAGCGAAGTATGCAGAAGAGCTTAGCAAGCGCTTCAACATTGCGCCTGCACCACTCTCCACCCCTTACCGCACCCCAGGACCCAACCACAAGCCTGACAACAAAGCCCTGTCCCCTGCCGGGCTTCACACCTACCAGCAGCAGTTGGGATGCCTGCTTTTTGCATCTGTTACCTGCAGGCCTGACCTCTCCTACATCGCGAGCCAGTTGGCTCAGTACTCTCGCAAACCAACGGCTGAGAATCTACTAGATCTCCAGCGGGCGCTCCAGTTCTTCATTTCCACGCCCAGCATCGGGCTCTGCTACTCCACCATCCCAACTTCGTCCTTCAACCTCATCGGCTACGTGGACGCCGATCACGCCGCTGACCCTGACAATCGACGGTCCAGGACGGGGTTCCTTTTTCGCCTCGAGCCCAGCGGCCCCATCTCCTGGAATTCACAGAAACAGGAGCTGGTTGCCCTGTCATCAGCGGAGGCCGAATTTATCGCAGCAACAGCAGCCGTTCGCGAAGGCCTCTACCTTCAGGAGCTGCTGCAGGAGGCGAAAATTCCAGCCTCGACGAACTTTCGCCTGCACTGCGACAACCAGAGCGCGATCAAGATCGCGAACAAGCCGGGATTCGTCAACCGCACCAAACACATCGCGCTGCGGTACTTCTTCGTCAAAGACGAAGTTGACAAGGGCAAGGTTGACCTAACCTACTGCCCGACGGGTGACATGGCAGCTGACTTCCTCACGAAGAAGTTGTCACGTCAGCAGTACCAGCACTGCTCCGAACTCAGCGGGGTAGTCAAGCGGGTCAAGACTCGCTACGGCCAGGAGTGAAGGGGGGTGTTACGAATAGTGATTATTGAAACACTATTGTACACTCCTCACCGCAGCAATCGAAGCACGCACTACCGAGAATGAAGACGAATGGGCGGAAGTGAAACGAAGAGTCACACGGTTACGAAAGGATCTGGACCGACGGGCAGACAGCATCAGGCAGCAGCAGTGGCGAGGATTCTGCCCGAACAGTTTCGTAACTGTCTGGAGTCGCACGGTTGGGTTTCGCTGCAATAAGGGAATGTACCCCTTAGAGTACATGGCTAGCTAGGTCGATTGGTATTCCCTTGTAATCTTATTTATATTCCTTGTACTGCATGTTTTTATCATCTCAAGCATTTACATTCACTCTGCTATTGAGGTCAAGGGCCCACCACTGCTAGACTAGGACTGTGCGAACCTTCCTGAGGTGATCCTGAGGGTGATCAACTTCTGATCGCAACATCTGGCACAGCCATTTGTTGGAGTGTGGACGGGCGAGAGAAGAGAACATACCGGTATCGATTGGATTGGACCGGAGCAACTGTACATGATAATGAAATGACAAGTTGACAACCGCATCCGATTCGATTCGAACTGCATTGAAGCAGCAGGTACAAGGAGAGGAGAGGAGAGCAAGCAAGCGGAGCAGCACCTGCTGACAGGGGAAGGGAGCCGTCTGTCTGCTGGATGGATGGATGGATGCCACAATCGAAAGAATCAATCAACCGTCAACTGTCAAATCAACGCCCGTCACTCCACATGCGGCAAGGAGCTACACCCTTCCCCCCACCGCTCCCTTGCCTCTCCCGCCACCAGCAGATCTCATCAGCCACTGCAGAGCCGCTCCCTGTGTGTGCGTAGTTCCTGCAGCTGGGCGGTGGGTACAGGAACACTGCTGCCTTTATGCACAGCAGCTTGTCTAATATGGCCTGTGTGGGGAGGGAGAGGGGAAAGAGAGAGAGAGAAAAGGGGGTGCATTTGAACGGAGAACGGGCATGTGTGGGCATGTGAGTTCCTGCAGCTGGGCGGCGGGTACAGGAACACTGCCGCCTTTATGCACAGCAGCTTGTCTAATATGGCCTGTGTGGGGGAGAGAGTGGGGGGGAAGAGGTGAGGGGAGAGGGGTGGGGGTGCATGGGAAGGGAGAACGGGTATGCGTGGGGATGAAAGTTCCTGCAACTGGGCGGCGGGTACAGGAACTACCGCCTTTATGCACAGCAGCTTGTCTAATATGGCCTGGTGCGGGGGAGAGATGCAGGGGGAAGGGGAGAGGAAAGGGGATGGGTTGCGTGGGAGGAGAGAAAAGAGCGCATGTGGGATGTGAATCGGGTGAATCGGGGGAAGATAGAGGAAGGAACGCTTGGCGTGTTTAGCTCATAAGAGGTGGCCGGCACGGCAACACGAGTCAGCTTGACTGCTGGGATGTGTTGTGTAGGTCCGGCGAGGCAAGAGGAAACACCAATGGTGCTTGCCTCGCCTCGCCTCCAACGGTGTAAATGTGTACGAATGGTGTTTGTATGGTGGTGCAGGCATCACACCATCAGAGGTAGGGGCGGACTGCCATGGGGATGGGCGGGTGGGCATGTGGGCGGGTGGTGCACCTGCGTGACCTCCAAGATCCAATTCCGAAGCATCTCTGATTCTCTGAAGAGTGTGCGGTATGGACAACAGCACGTACCTGCACTCCAATGTCCGCCTCTCTTAGACCCGGGAGAAACGATTCAAGCCGAGGGGGCTGTAGCCGGGAGAAGAGCTCCTGGCGGGGGTAAGAATGGGTGCGAGGTCCTAAAGAGTGTGCGGTATGGACAACAGCACGTACCTGCACTCCAATGTCTGCCTCTCTTAGACCCGGGAGAAACGATTCAAGCCGAGGGGGCTGTAGCCGGGAGAAGAGCTCCTGGCGAAGAGATGGGTAAGAATGGGTGCGATGCGAGGTCCGGAAAGGTGGGAGGGGTGAGAGAGGAGAGTGGATGAGGCATAAAGAACAGACGAGGGGGACAGTAACTTGTCTCTTGCAGTGGGTTAGAGACAATAAAAAGCGGAGAGATGGCATGGAAGACACAGACAGGGGGTGAGAGATCCTGCATGCTGTGAAAAGGATGGATTGGGCTGAGGCGGTGGGCGAGAGGAGGCGGCGAATGAGAGGAGGGGCGGTGGGTGAAGGGAGGTAGTAATGAGCTTAATGGCACAAAATGCAATGCACCTGTGGTGCTGATGGTGCTGATGGGCCATGAGTGGCAGTTTCTGAGAATGCTCAGAAGCAAGATAAGGGAGGTAGGTAGCACTGACCTTGACGGCATGGAATGCAATGTCCCTGTGGTGCTGGTCCAGATGTGCCGTGCCTGATAGCCACCTAGTGGCAGCACGGGACGGGAGATGTGCATGCCATGCGTGGAGGGACGGAGGGAGGGAGGGAGAAAGAGGAGAGGGACGAGAGAGAGAGCAGGAGATGGGTGGATGGATGGATGGATGGATGGATGGATGGATGGATGGATGGATGGATGGATGGATGGATGGATGGATGGATGGATGGATGGATGGATGGATGGATGGATGGATGGATGGATGGATGGATGGATGGATGAATGAGCACCCCACTCACTTCCCTTCCCCTTAACCTCCCCAACCTTCCCTCACCTTCCAAAAACAAAAGAACTGCGTAACACTAACACCACATTCCTGCCCCCCCTGCTCACTGGTTCTCCGGAGTCAAATCCGTTGCCATAAACACCGGAACCTTGTCCCCCTCTCCTCCTCCCCCTCCTCCTCCTCCCCCTCCTCCTCCTCCCCCTCCTCCTCCTCCCTCTCCCCCTCCACCCCCTCCCGCCACCATCCCTTGTCGCTCCCGCTCCTGCAGCCACCACACAGCCGCATCTCTCAGCAGGCCCTGCACGCACTGGTGCATCTGCACGGCCGACCGGTGGCTCATCATCGCCTTCTCTATCCGCCAGTGCGCCGCCACGTACCGCCCGCCTCCCTGCAGGTTCTGGGACGCGAAGGCGGAGGCGAGACGGTGCAGGTGCGGTGCGTATGCTATGTGCTCCTGGGCTAGCTCAGCCTGAGAGAGGGGGGGGGGGGTGTGGGGGAGAGTGTGGGGGGCAGGGTAAGAGGTGGGGGAGGGGAAGTGGGGAGGGAGGAGTTGGATAGTCCTGGGCGTATGGGCTATGTTCGAATCCTTCTTTACTCTGCAAGGGGCTATGTTCCTCGTGCAGCATATATGCTGTATGCTGTGCGCACACGGATGGGCGACCGGTGGCTCATCATGGCCTTCTCTATCCGCCAGTGCGCCGCCACGTATCGCCCGCCTCCCTGCAGCTGCTGGGACGCGAACGAGGAGGCTAGCCGGTGCAGGTGCGGTGCGTATGCTATGTGCTCCTGGGCTAGCTCAGCCTGAGGGAGAAGGGGAGGGGGGTGTGGGGGAGAGTGTGGGGGGCAGGGTAAGAGGTGGGGGAGGGGAAGCGGGGAGGGAAGAGTTGGATAGTCCTGGGCATATGGGCTATGTTCCTCGTGCAGCATATATGCCGTATGCTGTGCGCACACGGATGGGCGACCGCCATTGCGCCGCCACGTATCGCCCGCCTCCCTGCAGGTGCTGGGACGCAAAGGACGATGCCAGCCGGTGCAGGTAAGGTGCGTATTCTATCTATGTGCTCCTGTACGAGGTCCACCCGAGGAAGGGGGAGAAGTGAGTGGGGGAATGTGGAGGAGGGGTGGGGGGGAGGGGGTTTGAGATGGTTGGAGGGGTTGAAGTGCGACTCGAATTCTCAAAAGTCGCACCAATATTGGTGGGGTCGACTTTTATATTGGGGTTGGAGGGGTTGAAGTGCAGCACATACGCTTTTTTGAGTCGAATAGAAAATCGGTTCGAGTGCTGCGCGTACGCAATGAGCTGCTGGTCGAGAGTGAGAGGGTGGTGTGGCAGAAGGAGAATCTGGGAGTGCGGAGCTCCTTTTGAGTCGACTCAAGTGCCATTGTAACGAGGTGACTTTTGAATCGACTCAAGTGCCATTGTAACGAGGTGACTTTTGAGTCGACTCAAAAGCAGAATTTGGGAGTACGGGGCCCGGCCCCTCATGATTCCCCCCTCTGCCTTGTAACTTTTAAAATGGTGCTCACCTAAATACATAGCGTGTTTTGAGCCGACTCAAAACACATTGTCATGGTTTCATACTGTATGGTGCTCCCAGTATCACAGAAAGAACAAGTGAACTTCTCTGAGTCGACTCAAACACAGCCACGTTACTTTTAGACTGGTGCTCGCGTTATCACATGGCTGAAAGTGCAGGGCCCCTCATGGTTTCTCCTGTGCCAGTGGAGCTAAGCCCTCACCCCTCATTTCCCCACCACACCCACACCCACACCCACTCCCACACCCACACCCACACCCACACCCACACCCAGCAGCGGTTGCACGCGGCCCAGGCTCGCGGTGTGAGTGAACCTCATCAGCACTGCCACCTCCTCCGGAATACACACAATAGTGCTTCCTTTCCCCACACCATCCGCACAACACCCACACAAACTTACCAGCGGTTGCAGTCTGCCAAGGCTCGCAGTGTGAGTGAACTTCATCAGCACTGCCACCTCCTCTGGCGCCCCATCCCAACTCAAACACAGTACACTCTCCTTTCATTCCCCCACCCACCCACGCACACACCCGCAAACGCGCACTTACCAGCGGTTGCAGTCTACCCAGGCACGCAGTATGAGTGAACTTCATCAGCACTGCCACCTCCTCTGGCGCCCCATCTCAACTCAAACACAGTACACTCTCCTTTCATTCCCCCACCCACCCACGCACACACCCGCAAACGCGCACTTACCAGCGGTTGCAGTTGGCCCAGGCACGCAGTATGAGTGAACTTCATCAGCACTGCCACCTCCTCTGGAACCCTTAGGTCCTCTGCGCGCGGCGGTAACCAGCGTAACCACGCGCGGTCGTCACAGCTGGTGGTGCAGTGCAGCGGGGCGGGAGGTGAGGAGGAGAAGGCGAGGCGGTAGAGAGAGGTGTTCCAGGAGGAGGGCAGGTGCGGGGCGGCCGGGAAGGGGTAGTGCGTTTTTAGAAACGAGGCTGTCTGATTGGGGGGGTGTGCGGGTGGGAGGTTGGGGAAGGATTGTGGAGAGAAGGGGGGGGGAACGTGAGAAGGGTGCGTGAGGCACAGCGAAGTGAGAGGGGTTTTGGGACCATGGGGAATGCGTTGGGATATGGTGGGATGGGATGGGATGGATGTGAGGAGAAGGAAGGGCATGGGGTGGATCGATGATGGCTCGTATTGCACCCTCAATGCACCTTCACTGCACCCTCCCTCCCCGCACTTCCCCTGTAACTTCCCCGCAATTTCTCAGCGACTTCTCAGCACCTTCACCGCACCCTCCTCCCACAGCCAGTCAGTCAGCCAGCGCACCAGATTGCATCGCTGCCCCTTGAAATCGTCCAGCAGAACAACGCTGCTCCTCCACCCCCTCCCCTCCCCTCCTCCCCCTCCTCTCCCTCCTCTCCCACCTCCCTCTCTCCCCCTCCCCTCCCAAGCAGGCACCACGGAACCCCACAGGAACTCCTCTCTCACCCACGGCACAAACCGGCCAATCAGGGCCGTGTCAAAGTACGCGCACGCAGGCAGGGTGCCACGTGGCACGTTGTTGCCGCCGATGCGGCTGCTGCTGACACGTGGCAGCACAAGAGTGCGCCCCCAGTGGCGCGCCAGAGCCATGGCTTCTGCCAGGTGGAGGCGCGCCTTGCTCAGCTGCTCCCACAGGTGTGCTATGGCTAGATACTGGACAGATTGGGCCATGGCTGGGGGTGGGAAGACGCAGGGGAAGAGTTGCGGGGGTGAAGTTAGAGGAGGAACAGGAGAGTGGGATACACCACGTAGCCTCTGCCAGGTGCAGGCGTGCTTTGCTCAGCTGCTCCCACAGGTGCGCTATGGCTAGGTACTGGACGGATGGCGCCGTGGCTGGGGAAAAGGGGGGAGAGGACGTGCGGGGAAAGAGGTGTGGGGGGTAGGGGCGGGGAGCGGGGACGGGGGCGTTGGGGAATACGAGTGGGGCGTTTCCCCCTTCTGGTGGGGTCTCGCCTTGCTCAGCTGCTCCCACAGGTGCGCTATGGCTAGGTACTGCACTGATGGTGCTGTGGCTGGGGAAAAAGAAGGCGGGGGGAGGGGGAACGCGTGGGCAAGAGCAAAGAGAAGGGGAAGGGCTTAAGGGGTGGAGCACGACTGGAAGAGCTTGGGGAAGCCAGGTTGAGTCTCGCCTTGCTCAGCTGCTCCCACAGGTGTGCTATCGCTAGGTACTGCACTGATGGTGCTGTGGCTGAGGGGTGCGGGGGGTGGGGGGAAGAATGTGCGGAGGAAGAGGAGGGGAGGAGGGGAAGGGAAGGGGAGGGGTGGAATTCGCGAGGAGGAGAGGCAGATGCAGGGGATGACTGGTTGCGAACATGGGGAGGGAGGAGAGAGAAGAGGGGAAGGGAGCAGCGGGGCGTTGGGGAATGGGGCGGAATGGGGAGGAACGGGGAGGAATGGGGAAGAATGGGGGGGAAACGCCTTGCGTACCACAAGGCGATCAGTGGTCAACTTGGAACATCAGGGGGCCATCTGGGTGACTAAAGAAAGACGGGGTCGCACGAAAGCAGCATGGAGGAAAGCGAGAAACCCGACAGGACAGGCTCGATTATTTTTTTTATGGGCGTGAGGAGGTGAGAGTAGGTGCAAATGTATGCAGGAGGGTTTGGAAATGGCATTTGGGAATGTCAGATGCGTGAGAGCTGGATGCATCGACTGATTCATTTGGGAATGGCATTTGAGAATGGCATTTGAGAATGGCGTTTGGGTGAGGATTCGGCAGGGGGAGGAGAGAGGGAGTACAGGGATCGAAGGTCGCCGAATACATGGCGGCCTGCGACTCGTCGCACTCGAAAACGCTGCCGTCTTGCGACGGCTGCCCTTCAGCGGCTGCGACGCCGGCGACGCCAATGTGCGATCCCGGCGAAACCGTCCATGTCCCTGCGACGGCTGTCAGAAGGAGCAGTAGCGCGGCACTAGGTAACGAGTTAGGGAGCGCAATAGGCAGCGCTACCCTGCGTTGACCCTCTCTACAGTGTTTCGTGCGATCGCCCGCGGCAGCGCGAGGCGTGACACACATCGCCATATCTCGCTAGCTGACTCTCACGTTGCTCCTTGAGCAAGCTAGCTGGTGTGAAGGCTGGAGGGTATCGAAACCCGTGGGCACAGACGGAGGGGAGGCGTTTCAAGGGATGGTTTTGGGACGGTTAATTGCTATGGCCGACACGGCAACGCAAAACGCAGCGCAATGCAGTCTCGTTCCTTCCCACAACACGTCACGAGCTGGGAAAGAGAAGGCCGAATTTGATGCCTGGCTTGGCGGCAGCCTCAGCTATACGCGGTATGATGTACTTTCGCTATGAGTTCTCTGGAAATTTGCGACTACCGTACACGGACCATGAAACCCACAGTAAACATTTACATTTGCTTACGAAAATAAGCAACTCCTCTCCCCTGGAGTGCCTTCTCAGTAATCTCAGCCTTAGTTATGGCAGGGGTAATTTCTACTACTTGTCAACCTTTTTTGCCAGTAATCACTGAGTAACTTGAAAACCAACACCTGAAACCCCACCAACAACTAGGGGGAAAATGCATATATTCGCAACGCGGCAGCGCATCAGATCAAGATTCAATACAGCGTAGACTCAAAGGGGTTGCGTGTGCAGTCCTCACCACCCCAAACGTCCTCATCACATGTACCGTACTACTACACATACACAGCTACTCCAATCCAATCCAACCCAGTATAAATCCCCATCAGCACCGCACTGCACCATCCCTCACCTCCTCCTCATCTCTTCCCGCCTCTTCTCGCCTGCAACGACCGCAGCTGCGGCCACCGAGCCAACCCCTCCTGCCAGTACCCATGCCACACGCGGCCATAGTTAACACTAGAGCCCCCTGCTGGGTCCGCCCACACGCGCACATCCATGCGCAGCGGCGAATCCCCATCAAACGTGACAATGCGCGGGTGCGGCTGGTACTGTCTTAGCCTCTGATTGTACCTCAGGTTGACTGCATACGCGTACGGCATGCGGTGTTGCGGGGATTCGTAGAACCAGGTTCCATAGTACGCGTTTAGGAACAGGTCTAGATACTCCGTGCTGCTCCCATTCCCACCGCTCCCACCGCTCCCACCGCTCCCGCTGCTCCCGCTGCTCGCGCTGCTCGCACGGTCTTGCCGCGTCTGCAGCATCCGTGAGAGCACCTCTTGGTTCGGCTGCAGCAGCATGACTCGTGTAGAGAACATATCAGGGGGGAAGCGCAGCGGGGGCGCAGCAAACGGCTGGAACTCGGAGAAAACGAGCTGGATGTTGGTGGCAAAGAGAGAGAGCACATCCACATAGAGCACCCGGTCGAAATCCGTCTGGTTCCACACCTGCAGCACTGACATCTCCGCCTCCTCCTCTTCCTCCTCCTCCTTTTTCTCCTCCTGGCCCTTCTCCTGGCCCTCCTCTTTCCCCTCTCGCCCCGCACGGCCCGCTGAGGGGACCACCCGCACGTGATCAAACAGGGGCTCTAGGAGTTTCCGGTGGGGGGCGGGGACTGATGGGAGCACGAGCAGGAGAGAGGGGACTCGGGAAGGGCCGGGCGGGTGGAGCTTGTTGTATGACATCGCCCAGGGGACTGCTGCATGCTGGTTGCGTGCTGATACCACTGTTGCCACCACCAAGCGGCCCCAGCTGCCGCTCGAGCCACCCAACTCTGCCCCTCCTGGTCCTTCCACGGCACTCTCCGTCATGCTTGGCCTCACCCACTCAGCCGCACGCGGCTTCTTCCCCGGCCCTTCTGATTCATAATCCGCCGCGTTCGGCAGCCCGGAAGTGAGCGAAAACCGGCTGCTTAACCCTCTCTCCTCCCGCCCCTGCTCCCCTCCACCGTTGACGCTCCCCTCTTCCCCACCCACACCCCCGCCCCCCGCATACAACGGGAACCAGCAGTTATCATACAGCGCACGGGACACATTATACCAGATCCTCAACCACACCGCGTACGGCTGCTCCCCATTCACAAAGCACCAGTGGCACCCATTCGGGCCCGGCACAGGCCGATTCGAGCCCATACCAGCCGGCTTTCCCCACGGGCCGCCCAGATGAGCCACCATCACAGGACCCATTATCTCATGTGCGCGGTCCACGTCGTACCAGCGCGGAGGGGGGTAGTTGCGCGGGTAGAGGAGCATGGCGTTGAAGCGGTAGGGCAGGCGGTGCGAGGAGGACATGTTGGGAAAGCCCGCCCAGTAGCGGTTCAGGTAGCCCTGGTCCGCGTTGTCTGTGGAACCGAGGACGTCGATGTTCGCCACCAGAGATGTGAACGTTGCCTGTTGGGGTGGAGAGGGGTGCACTTGAGAGATTTGAGACGCCTCACAGCCCAGCCCAGCCCAGCCCAGCCCAGCCCAGCCCAGCACGTCGATGTTCGCCACCAGAGATGTGAACGTGGCCTGTTGGGAAGGAGGGGCGAGGGGGGTGGTGCAGTGGGGTGCGGTTGGGTGCAGGAGGGAGGGAGGTTTGAGCATTCACAGAAGCGGTTCAGGTAGCCCTGGTCTGCGTTGTCTGTGGAGCCGAGAACGTCGATGTTCGCCACCAGAGATGTGAACGTGGCCTGTTGAAGGGGTGGGAAGGGGTGCAGGTGGGTGTAGGAGGGAGGTTTGAGCAATCTATTAAAAGCAGTTGAGGTAGCCCTGGTCTGCATCGTCGGTCGAGCCAGCACGTCAAAGTGAGTATGATTGTTAGCGTGAGCGTGAGGGTGCCGGTGGTGGGGGTGAGGGTGCGAGTGAGGGCGAGTGAGTGAGTGAGTGGGATTATGTGTGAGAGCTTGTGTGTGCACGCATGCATAAACGCACCTGGGAGGGCTTGAGCACAAACATGCCGCTGTTAAACGCCTCTGTGAGGTAACTCGGCACACCCGTCGGCTCCTCCCGCTCAAACATAAAGTCCAGATTCGCCAGCGCCATCGCATCCACATCCATGAAAACCACCTTCTCATACCGCTCCATGTGCCATGCTTGAGGCGCTTCAAAAGTGTGTGTGTGTGTGTGTGTGTGTGTGTGTGTGTGTGTGTGTGTGTTGTGAAAGTAGCAAATTGAACAAGTCATCAGATTAGAGGAACAACCTAGCATACATAGTTGGAAGGGAAGGTTGGAAGGGAAGGATGAAAGTGACCATAGGTTGGGTTGACCTCACTTGGGGAAGTGAGGGAACCATAGGTCAAGTGGGTTGGGTTGCCCACACTTTGTAGAAGTGAGGCAACCCTAGGCCCACTTGGCTTGGGGTAACCTCAATTGTGGGAAGTGAGGTACCCACAAGTCAAGAGGGTTGCATTTGGGGGCTCCACCACAATTGGGTGGATTGGCACCCCAAAGTGCAAGACTACACCCAAAGTTGGGTGTAGTCCCAACCCAACTGTACACCACAATTGGTGTACAGTCACATGTGTTGGCATGCTACACAATATATATTTTAACACAACCCCTTAGCATGCTAACACAAGAAGAGAACAACCCCTGAATCAAGGGGCGCCCGGGCGAGCAAGGCCAATGAGGCGGAGGAAGGCAGAGTGCGCGGGGCGAAGGAGGGCCTTAGTGAAGATGTCGGCCAAGTTGGCCTCGGTTGCAATCTTGCGAACGGCAATGAGGCCCTTCTGGACGAGCTCGCGAACGAAGAAGTAGCGGAGTTCGATGTGCTTGGAGCGGGCGTGATAGACGGGGTCCTGAGTGAGATGGATGGTGCTGGCGTTGTCGCACCAGAGAGTGGGGCACGTCTGGGGGGCGCCAAGCTCCGCAAGAAGGAAGCAGAGCCAGCGCGACTCCTGGGCGGCCATGGTGCCAGCGTAGAGCTCGGCTTCGCAGGTGGAGAGAGAGATGGCGGAGGAGCGGGTGGAGCGCCAGCTGATGAGGCCGCTGCCAAGGGTGAAGCCGTAGCCCTGGGAGGAGCGGCGGTCCGGCTGCGTGTCAGCCCATGAGGAGTCACTGAAGCCCGAGAGAAGGGGACGGGAAGGGCCGCCGAGGGTGAGGGCAAGGTCCCTGGTCCCGCGAAGGTAGCGGAGGACCCGCTTGGCAGCTTTCCAGTGCTCCTCAGAGTGACGACCGGTGCCGACAAAGCGAGCGAGCACGCTGATGGGGTAGGCGAGGTCGGGGCGGGTGCACATCATTGCGTACATCAAGGACCCAACGAGCTCGGCATAGGGGTGGGGGGAGGAGGTGGGGGAGGTGGGTGGAGCGAGTTGGTGACCGAAGGGGAGCGGGGTGGAAACAGGCTTGGCTTGCGCCATGTCGAACTTCTCCAAGACCTGGCCGATGTAATGGGACTGGGAGAGGGTGATTGTGCGAGCAGGGCGGTTGCGCGTGATGGTCATGCCGAGGTAGTGAGTGAGGGCGCCAAGGTCTTTGCACTTGAGCCGCTGCTGCAGGGACAGCTTCACCTGCCCCATGTCGGCCTTGGTGTCAGAGAGCAGGATCATGTCGTCGACATATACCAGAATGAAGAAGCGGCGGGGGGAGGAGCGGATGAAGAGGCTGGCGTCGGAGTGGGAAGCAGAGAAACCGAGGGACCCCAAGGTGGCAGCCAGCTTCGCATGCCACTCACGCGGTGCCTGCTTCAAGCCGTAGACGGGGCGACGCAGCTGCCAGACAGTGTTCTCAGGAAAGGCTGCGTGGAACCCGGGGGGTCGCCGGAGGAAAATGCGCTCATGCAGGTCGCCCTGCAGGAACGCATTGGAGACGTCCATGGAGTCGATTTCCATGTCGTCACGTGCACCAATGTCCATGGCGGCGCGAAGGGTGGGTGGTTTGGCGGTGGGGGCGTAGGAGAACCAGTAGTCCTCAGCCCAAGTCTGCGTGAACCCCTTGGCGCAGTAGCGGGCCTTGTACACTGGTTCCTCGCCCGGCAGCTGCTTCACCCGAAAGACCCATTTGCCGTCAACGAGATTAGCGCCAGCAGGGAGGGGGACATCGACAAAGGAGTCGTTGCGAATGAAGGCCTCACACTCCAGGAAGATCGCTGCTATCCATTTATCCGCATCAGGGCAGGTGATGGATTCCTGGAAGGTGGAGGGAGTGAAGATGGTGGGGGTAGTAGTGGCGCCAAGGACAGGAAAGCCCAGGAAGTCAAGGTAGAGGGCGGCAAGGAATGGAGTGTGCTCCCGAATGTTGAGGAACTCCTCATGGGAGTCCTCAAGGAGCTGAATGGAGGCAGGAGGAGGAGCCCCAAGGATTTTGTCCACCGAGCGGGTATGGATGTAAGGGAGGAGGAAGGGGGAGGAGCGGGAAGTGGCACGGCGCCGCTGCTGCTGCTGGTGCTGCTGCTGTCCCGGCTGCTGCTGATGCGGCTGCCCCGGCTGCTGCTGCTGCTGCTGCTGCTCCGGCTGCTGCTGCTGCTGCTGCTGCTGCTGCTGCCCCGGCTGCTGCTGCTGCTGCCCCTGCTGCCGTTGCTGGTGTTGCTCCCGCTGCTGCTGCTGCTGGTGCTGCTGCTGCCCCTGCTGTTGCTGATCCGGCTGCTGCTGCTGCTGCTGCCCCTGCTGTTGCTGATCCGGCTGCTGGAAAGGAGGAGAATGAGAGGAGGGAGAGGGGGGAGGGGGTGCAGCTGAGTGAGCGGGGGAGGCGGGTGCGGCAGGGTCGTAGACGTCGGCAGAGGAGGAAGGCGGGAGTGGGGCGGCGACAGGTGGGAGGAGAGGCGCTGGAGGGATAAGAGGCGGGAGGATGGTGTCGGTCCAAGCGAGGGGGCGAGTGGGAGGAGGGAGGGGGTCAGGAGGAGGGGTGGAGTAGTAGGGAGTGGACTCGTCGAAGACGACGTCAATGCTGCGGATGAGGCGATTGGTGGGAGGGTGGAGGAATAGGTAGCCTGGGGAATCACGATTGTGCCCAAGGTAGACGCACTCCAGAGCGCGAGGAGCGAGCTTGCCAGCAGCGCGGGAGCGGTCGGCCGGTGGAATGAGGACGAACGCCTTGCAGCCCCAAACACGAAGGCCTGCGGCGTCAGGCTTGGCCTTGGACCAGAGTTCTGTGGGGGAGGAGGAGGGATGCTGAGGGTGGGAGCGGAGATTGAGGAGGAGGGCGGCATGAATGAGGGCATAGCTCCAGAGGGAGGGAGGGGTGGAGGCGTGAGCAATGAGGCAGCGCGCAATCTTGGTGATCTCACGGATGCGACTCTCAGCGATGCCGTTTTGCTGAGGGGAGTGGGGAAGGGTGGTGGTCTGCTGAATGCCGTATGTTTTGCAGTAAGTGGAGAGAGTATGATTGATGAACTCACCCCCACCGTCAGAGTGAAGGCGGCCTATGGGACGTTTGAAGTGGTTGCGGCACTGCTCAGCCCAGTTGATGACCACAGCCGGCACCTGGTCTTTCGTGTGAAGAAAGAAGACGGTGGAGTACCGACTGTGGTCGTCGACGAGCACGAGCATGTACCTGTGCCCCTGACGGGAGCGGATGGGATAAGGGCCCCAGAGATCCATGTGAACAAGGTCAATGGGGGCGGGAGCGAAGGTGGGATGACTGTGATGGGGGGACTGTTTGAGCTTGCCATGAATGCATGATGGGCATGGGGGAGCAGGGGAGGAGGGGAGGGGAGGTAAGGTGGGAGGTAAGGTGGGAGGAAGGCTGTTAAGGAGGCGAGAGGTGACGGTGGAGCGAAGTGCGGCGAAGTTGGGATGGCCGAGTCTGTGATGTAGGAGCACTGCAGGATGGGAGAGGGCAGTAGAGGAGGAGGGGGATGGGGTGGGGGAAAAGTTGGGGGGGGAGGAGGAGGCGGATGGAGTAGAGGAGGAGGATATCGGAGGAGGGGGAGGGGGAGGGTGAGGGGGAGGGAGAAGGGGACCGGTGGAAGTACCAGCACGAGTGGTGACGTGACAAAAGGAGGGACGGGGTGTGCGGAGCGTGTAAAGGCGAGTGCGAGGGCAAAGGGGAATGCGCAGGAGGAAACGACCAGAGGCGGTGTGGTAGAGATCGCAGTAGGAAGCAAAGCCAGGGTATATGGCGGTAATGCCAACGCCTTGGAGTTCACGGTGGGAGAGGAGGTTATTGCGAAGGGTAGGGATGTGGAGACCGGTGACTGTACCGGATGGGAAGGCGGTGCAAGGAAGGGTGGAGAGGTGAGTGCAGGGGATGGAAAAGCTGGAGTCGACACCATGAACCTGGGTGGGAAGTGGAAGGGGGGTGAGGGTGCCAGCGTCTTTTAGTGCGGTTTCGGTGGCCCCACTGTCAAGGACAAAGTCCAGGGTGGGGGGGGAAGGAGAGGGAGGGAACACAGAGTACTGGAGAGTTGTTTCATGGATAGAAGAGGGAGAGAGCGGCGGGTGCTGCTGCTGTAAGTACTGTTGCTGCTGCGGCTGCTGCGGTGGGAGAGACTGTGACGGTTGCGGCTGGAGATTTTGGGCTGCTGCTGCTGCTGGAAGCACCGCCGATGCTGCCGCGGTTGCTGCGGCTGGAGAGATTGTGGTGGCTGCTGCTGCTGGAAGCACTGCTGCTGCTGCGGATGGAGAGAACTGTGGCTGGTGCTGCTGCTGGAAGCACTGCTGCTGCTGCGGCTGAAGAAACTGTGGCTGCCGCTGCTGCTGGAAGGACTGCTGCTGCTGCGGCGGAAGGAACTGTGGCAGCTGCTGCTGCTGGAAGCACTGCTGCTGCTGCGGCTGAAGAGACTGTGGCTGCTGCTGCTGCAGGAAGGACTGCTGCTGCTGCGGTGGAAGGAACTGTGGCAGCTGCTGCTGCTGGAAGGACTGCCGCTGCTGCGGCTGGAAGGACTGCTACTGCTGGGGATGGAGAAACTGTGGCGGGTGAGGCTGGAGAGATTGCGGCTGCTGTTGGTGTTGGAAGAACTGCTGCTGCTGCGATTGCCGCGGCTGGAGGAGATGTGGGGGGTGCGGCTGGAGAAATTGTGGTTGCTGCCGCTGCTGGAAGTCCTCCTGCTGCTGATGCTGGAGCTGCTGGAAACGCCGCAGATGGGGAGGGGGGGAGGGGGTGAGCAGGCGGAGATAAGGGGGGGGGGAGGAGTGGAGGGTCGGAGTGTTGAGAAGGGAGGGGCGAGGAGTAACACTGCTCCAGTGAGGAGGGGGGAGAGGGGCAGGGGGGGTAGCAGTCATGATGGGCGACGGCGGGTGGACCCGCGGCGGCCAAGGGTGAAGTTGCTGCTGCGGAGGCTGCTGCACTTCCCCTGCTGCCGCTGCTGCTGCCGCTGGCAGGAGGAGGGAGGGGGGGGGGGGGGGGGGGGGGGGGGTAAAGGAGGGAGACAGCGGTGGAGGGCAGAGGCGTTCAAGGTGCAGGGAGCGACGGTGACAAGGGCGCAGGCGGCTGTGCGAACGTGCGGCGGCGGGAAGGGGAGGCGGTGGCAAAGTCGGGGGCGGCGGCGGCGAGCAGGCCGCGACGACGAGGGGCGCAGGCGACGGCGGAAGGGCCACGGCGGCGAAACGAGGGACGGCGGCGGCAGGCAGGCCGCGGCAACGAGGGGCGCAGGGGGAGGGGGAGGGGGGGGGAGAGGAGTAGGGAGAGGAGGAAGGGAGGGTGCAGTTGCGGCTGAATCTGCAGGCGGCGACGGGGCAGTCACGGCGGCAGGAAGTGTGGGCGGGGATGGCGCGGTCGCGGTGGAGGATGGGCAGACGGCGCCGAAGCAGTCGCGGCGGTAGGGCGGCGGCGGCGCAGTGGCGTTAACGGGAACCGCGGGGCGACGATGTTGCAGTTGCGGCGGGGGAAATTGCGGGAGGGTGGCGATGCAGCAGGTGCGGCGGTGGGAGGGGAGGCGGCAATGCGAAATCGCGGCGGGGGGGGGGGGGGGGGGGGGGGGCGGGGAGGTGACGACGAGCAGTCGCGGCGGCGGAATGCGCAGGCGGCGATGTTAGGTCGCGGCGGCGGGACGGGCAGGGGGCGACGAGCTGTCGCGGCGGCGGGACGGGCAGACGGCGCCGAAGCAGGCGCGGCGGCGGGAAGGGGAGGCGGCGACGTGACGTCGCGGCGGAGGGACGGGCAGGCGGCGACGAGGCGTCGCGGCGGCGGGATGCGCAGGCGGCGCCGAAGCAGGCGCGGCGGCGGGAACGCGGCGACGAGACGTCGCGGCGGAGGGACGGGCAGGCGGCGACGAGGTGTCGCGGCGGCAGGATGCGCAGGTGGCGCCGTAGCAGGCGCGGCGGCGGGAACGCGGCGACGAGACGTCGCGGCGGAGGGACGGGCAGGCGGCGACGAGGCGTCGCGGCGGCAGGATGCGCAGGCGGCGCCGAAGCAGGCGCGGCGGCAGGAACGCGGCGACGAGACGTCGCGGCGGAGGGACGGGCAGGCGGCGACGAGGCGTCGCGGCGGCAGGATGCGCAGGCGGCGCCGTAGCAGGCGCGACGGCGGGAACGCGGCGACGTGACGTCGCGGCGGAGGGACGGGCAGCGGGCAGGCGGCGACGAGGCGTCGCGGCGGCAGGATGCGCAGGCGGCGCCGAATCAGGCGCGGCGGCGAGAAGGGGAGGCGGCGACAGGGGGTCGCGGCGGGGGGGAGGAGGGGACAGCGGCGTTGCGCTCGCGGCGGTGGAATCCGCAGGCGAGGAAGGCGTAATCGCGGCGGGAGGGGGGGGGAACGGCGGCGACGGCGTAGGTCGCGGCGAGAGTATGCTAGTGATGGCTAGTTGAGCCACGCGTAGGAAAGGGTTTGTAGCTGTGGGGTGGGCCCATGGGAAAAAAAAAAACTGAAGGGAGGGAGAGGTAAGGCCTAGGAACAAGTAGCTCTATACCATGTGAAAGTAGCAAATTGAACAAGTCATCAGATTAGAGGAACAACCTAGCGTACATAGTTGGAAGGGAAGGTTGGAAGGGAAGGATGAAAGTGACCATAGGTTGGGTTGACCTCACTTGGGGAAGTGAGGGAACCATAGGTCAAGTGGGTTGGGTTGCCCACACTTTGTAGAAGTGAGGCAACCCTAGGCCCACTTGGCTTGGGGTAACCTCAATTGTGGGAAGTGAGGTACCCACAAGTCAAGAGGGTTGCATTTGGGGGCTCCACCACAATTGGGTGGATTGGCACCCCAAAGTGCAAGACTACACCCAAAGTTGGGTGTAGTCCCAACCCAACTGTACACCACAATTGGTGTACAGTCACATGTGTTGGCATGCTACACAATATATATTTTAACATGTGTGTGTCTGTGTCTGGTGCACGAATGCATGCACGCACCTGGGACGGCTTGAGCACAAACATGCCGCTGTTAAACGCCTCTGTGAGGTAACTCGGCACACCCGTGGGCTCCTCTCTCTCAAACATGAAGTCCAAACTCCCCAGCGCCATCGCATCCACATCCATGAACACCACCTTCTCATACTGCTCCATGCGCCACGCCTGCAGCTTCGCAAAGTGCTTCGCGCCGTACTTGCTCGGCACCAGCGCCACCGGGAGGATCAGGTCGAAGTGGTGGTGCAGGATGGGGAGATTAAAGAAGGGTTCGTCCATGGCTGTCATGAGGACTATGTGGTGCGGCGTGCCGGTGAGGCGGAGCGCGGTGCACCAGACGAGAGCAGACATGACGTAGCTGGGGGAGGTGATGAGGGTGGTGTAGGCGAAGCGGGCGGAGGAGGGGCGGGGTGGAGGGTCGGGGGAGGGGGTGGCGTGGGCTGGGCAGTGTGAGAGGTCCAATGGAGGCTCCTCGCGCTGGTGGGGAGGAAGGAGAGAGAGGGAGGGGGAGAGGGAGAGAGCAAGGGTTTGTTTAGGCGCCTCATAGATTGTCCCAGTTGTCGGAATCGGGTGAGAGGGGGGGCAACGGCAACGTGGGCTGTGCAGTGTGGGAGGTCCAATGGGAGCTTCTCGTGCTGGTGGGGAGCGGGGAGGGAGAGGGTGGGGGAGAGGATAGGAGAGGGAGGAAGAAAGAGAGATGGCAGCAAGAGAGTTTTTGAGGCGTTTCAAGAATCGCCGCAGTTCTTGTAGCGGGGTCAGAGGGGCAACGTGGGCTGTGCAGTGCTGTGTGAGCAGTGCTGTGTGAGCGGTGCGATGGGGGTTCCTGAGGGTTGTAGGGAGGGAAGGACGGGGAGGGAAGTGACTGGGGGAAAGGGGGGGTTGGGATGGGAGGAGCCGAGGTTGACGAGGTTGATAGATGGCCGATTGCGCTGAAGATTGTGGTGGGGTACGAATGACTTCGGAGAATTCCCGAAGGTGATTCCTAAGGTGATTCCAGAATGGCGGACTGTGGTGAAGGTTGTGGTGGGATATGAATGTAGGGACGATAGGCGCGGATGAGGATAAGATAATGAGGATAAGATGACAGCGGGTTGAAGCATGGGCGTGGTTGAAGTACACGGGGAGGAAAAGCGTACGGGAGGCAGGAAGGGAGGGGAAGAAAGAGAGAATTTGCAGTGGGGAGAAGAGAGAGAAAGGGGAGTGTTAGAGAGAGATTCAGCGTGAGTTGAGGAGGTAAGGGAGAGGGATTGACGCAGTGGGATAGAGTGATGGAGGGAGGAGAGACGGAGAGAGAGAGAGAGAGAGAGAGAGAGAGAGACGGACGGACGAGGGGGAGAAAAAGGGGGAGAAGAGAGGGAGAAGAGAGGGAGGGAGAAAGAGAGAATGAGGAGTACATAGGAGGGAGAAAGAGGAGATTGGGAAGAGACTGGGGGAAGGGAGAACGTGGGAACTGCAGGAAGGCCGTGCGTGGCGATGCGTTGCAGGAATGCATGCAGGTCACGGCGACTAGCGCACGCGATTGGCGCGCGCGACTGGAGCGCGCGATTGGCGAGCAGCGGTGCGCGGAGGCGAGCCATGAGAGATCCCAGAGGGGAATGCGCGGGGCAGGTCAAACATCGACCGCGTGCCGTGTCGTGCGCGCACCTGTCGCCATTGGAGCGGGTCGACGGCGAGAAAGAGCACGACGGCGAGGAAGAGCGACACGGACGCCTTGAGGAGCAGCGCGTGGTGGCGGAACAGCAGGCGAGGCAGCGACGCCGCGACTCGCGGAGCCATTGCGACGGAATGGATCGTCAGCGGGTAAGTTAAGGGGGATGCAGGGGGATGGTAATGCGGCAATCAGACTTGCTGGTTGATCCGTGCTGGCTGAAAAAGGATGGCGATGGGATGGGATCGAGTTTGTCTGCTGCTGAAGTTGAACGGGTGCTGCTGAAGCATCGCTTGTCTTGTCCGTACACTTTATAACGCACTCTGCCTGGATGATGGTGCTCTCTGCTACATCACGTACCGTAATACATCTGTGATGACTAAATTAACAAGATTCGACGTTAACGTCGGAAGGGTTGCGTAGAGTTGTATTCCTCTTATATGAACATAATGGTGGAAATATTATGATGGAACATACGGAAATCAAATTATAATGTTCGTCCATTTTATTTAGACTAGGACAAGCTTGCTGATTCCTTCTAGGAAAATATAATTATTACAAACAAAATCATTGCAATCTCCGATCTTTGGTTGGTGACAAGTATCGAGTGGTTCTAAGGCTACAATCATATTTCAAGAACATCATATAGCCAATGTGACAGCTTCAGAATTATATCACCTTAAGAATGTCACAAGCGAATAGGCCCAAAATATTAGATGTCGTTGTCACGAGAAAATAGTGTATCTTTTCCCTTTCACACCTGCCAATTCGAATTCGATGCTGTCACTTCTTGGTTCTTGGTTCTTGGTTCTTGGTTCTTGATAGTATACTATGCCCTTTCCTCTCCCCACCCAAGGTGCTTCTCCCTCCGAACCCACCCATTCCCAAACCTGCAGTCGCGACTTACCTACCATCTGAACCAAACACCTTGCCGCCGCCACTCTCTCCCACCCAGCCGTCGCCTCTCCTCCCATCCCTATATCCTCTCCCTTACTCCGCCCCGTCGCCTCTCCCTCTCACCCCGTCGTCGCCGCTCCCTCCCATCCCGCCATCGCCCCTCTCTCGCTCCCAGCCGCGGTCGCCTCTCCCTCCTCCCCGCGGTCGCCTCTCCCTCCTCCCCGCGGTCGCCTCTCCCTCCTCCCCGCGGTCGCCTCTCCCTCCTCCCCGCCGTCGCCTCTCCCTCCTCCCCGCGGTCGCCTCTCCCTCCTCCCCGCGGTCGCCTCTCCCTCCTCCCCGCGGTCGCCTCTCCCTCCTCCCCGCGGCCGCCTCTCCCTCCTCCCCGCGGTCGCCTCTCCCTCCTCCCCGCCGTCGCCTCTCCCTCCTCCCCGCCGTCGCCTCTCCCTCCTCTCCGCCGTCGCCTCTCCCTCCTCTCTGCCGTCGCCTCTCCCTCCTCCCCGCCGTCGCCTCTCCTTCCCTCCCCGCCGTCGCCTCCGGCGACAGGTGCACGAGCGCAAGCGCGGGTTGGTGCGCCAGCGCGGGTTGTTTTCTGAGGCACCGTTGTTATCAGGTGCGTTCCCGGTCCTTTCATCTACCCTTTCCCCTCTGGTTTTCTCTCTCTTTCTTTTTTGCTTCTTCGTAATTTTTGTGTATTAATTGGTCTCTTCTTGCATTGCACTTTCATTTGAAGAAGGGAAGAGACGGAGCGAGAGGGAGAGCGTGTGCACGGGAGCGAACGCGTGAGAGAGCGCGTGAGAGAGCGCACGAGAGAGCGCGTGAGGGAGCGCGTGAGGGAGCGCGTGAGGGAGCGCGTGAGGGAGCGCTTGAGAGAACGCGTGAGAGAGCGCGTGAGAGAGCACGTGAGTGTGCGCGTGAGTGAGGGCGTGAGTGTGCGCGTGAGAGTGCGCGTGAGAGAGCGCATGAGAGAGCGCGTGAGGGAGCGCGTGAGAGATTGCGTGAGGGAGCGCGTGAGGGAGCGCGTGAGGGAGCGCTTGAGAGAGCGTGTGAGAGAGCGCATGAGAGAGCGCGTGAGGGAGCGCGTGAGGGAGCGAGTGAAGGAGCGCTTGAGAGAGCGAGTGAGAGAGCGCGTGCGAGAGCGTGTGAGAGAGGGCGTGCGAGAGCGCGAGAGTGTGCGCGTGAGAGTGCGCGTGAGAGAGCGCGTGAGAGAGCGCGTGAGAGGGCGCGTGAGAGAGCCCGTGAGAGAGCGCGTGAGAGAGCGCGTGAGAGGGCGCGTGAGAGAGCGCGTGAGAGAGCGCGTGAGAGAGCGCGTGAGAGAGCGCGTGAGAGAGCGCGTGAGAGCGCGCGTGAGTGAGGGCGTGAGTGTGCGCGTTAGAGTGCGCGTGAGAGAGCGCATGAGAGAGCGCGTGAGGGAGCGCGTGAGAGATTGCGTGAGGGAGCGCGTGAGGGAGTGCGTGAGGGAGCGCTTGAGAGAGCGCGTGAGAAAGGGCGTGAGAAAGGGCGTGCGAGAGCGCGTGAGAGTGCGCGTGAGAGTGCGCGTGAGAGGTGCGTGAGAGGCGCGGGAGAGAGCGCGTGAGAGAGCGCGTGAGAGAGCGCGTGAGAGTGTGTATGAGAGTGCGCGTGAGGGAGTGCTTGAGAGAGCGTGTGAGAGAGCGCGTGAGAGAGCGCGTGCGAGAGCGCGTGCGAGAGCGCGTGAGGGAGCGCTTGAGAGAGCGCATGAGAGAGCGCGTGAGAGAGCGCGTGCGAGAGCACGTGCGAGAGCGCGTGAGTGTGCGCGTGAGAGTGCGCGTGAGAGGCACGTGAGAGCGTGTGAGAGAGCGCGTGAGAGAGCGCGTGAGAGAGTGCGTGAGAGTGCGCGTGAGAGTGCGCATGGGAGACGCGTGGGAGTGCGCGTTAGAGAGCGCGTGAGGGTGTGTGCGAGAAAGCGCGTGAGAGTGCGTGTGAGAGAGCGCGTGAGAGAGCGCGTGAGTGTGCGTGAGAGAGCGTGTGAGGGAGCGCGTGCGAGAGTGCGTTAGAGGCGCGGGAGAGAGCGCGTGAGAGAGTGCATGAGAGAGCGCGTGAGAATGCGCATGGGAGATGCGTGAGAGTGCGCGTTAGAGAGCGCGTGAGAGTGCACGTGAGAGTGCGCGTGAGAGTGTGCGTGAGAGAGCGCGTGAGAGAGCGCATGAGTGAGGGCGTGAGTGTGCGCGTGAGAGTGCGCATGAGAGTGCGTGTGAGAGCGCGTGAGAGTGTGCACGAGGGAGCGCGTGAGGGGGCGCATGAGGGAGCGCGTGAGAGAACGCCTGAGAGAACGCGTGAGGGAGCACGGGAGGGAGCGCTTGAGAGAGCGCGTGAGAGAGCACGTGAGAGAGCGCGTGTGAGAGCGCGTGAGAGAGCGCATGAGAGTGCGCATGGGAGACGCGTGAGAGTGCGCGTTAGAGAGCGTGTGAGAGAGCGCGTGAGAGAGCGCGTGAGAGTGCGCGTGAGAGTGCGTGTGAGGGAGTGCGTGAGAGAGCGCGTGAAAGAGCGCGGGAGAGAGCGCGTGAGAGAGCGCGTGAGAGAGCGCGTGAGAGTGCACGTGAGAGTGCGCGTGAGAGTGCGCGTGAGAGTGCACATTAAAGTGCGCGTGAGAGTGTGCGTGAGAGTGCGCGCGAGAGAGCGAGGGAGAGCGCGCGAGAGAGTTTGCGTGAGAGAGCGTGTGAGAGAGCGAGTGAGAGAGCGTGAGGATGAGTGGGTATGCGTGCAAGGGTGAGAGCGAGAGTGTGTGCGACTGTGTGTGCTAGGGTGAGTGCGAAAGCAAGTGCGAGTGTTAGTGCAAGGTTGCATGTGA